AGGAATATAATGCAACCATAAAAAAGAATAAAATCCTAACATTTGCAACATAATGGATTCAACTGGAGATCATTATGCTAAGTGAAATAAGTCAGACTCAAAAAGAAAAATACATTTTGTCATATTTGAGGTAGTCAGTGTACATAGAGAGGATAAAAATGGTGTGGATGTCAGGTCATTTGGCATATCGATATAAATATTGCTTCAGCAAATAATACCATGTATGACTATACTCTTGTTTCACATGTTATGAATGGGACAGTGAGGATTCTTGGGGTACTAGTAATGCTATAGTGTTAATTTTGATGTTGGTTATGAGTGTGATCAGATGACAAGAAACTCATTGATCTGTATACTTACTGCCTTTCTTGGCATGTTTACTGTATTTTAATAAAATGCTCAAAAAGTAAATTTTAATAGTAGTGTTCTTTTAAGAAAAAGATGGTACATTTAGCCTACTCAACAGAAATGGCCACTTTGGGGCCAGCACTGTGACATAGTGGGTAAAGCCGCTGCCTGCACTGCCGGCATCTCATATGGGCGTTTCAAGTTCTGGCTGCTCCACTTCTGACCCAGCTCTCTGCTGTGGCCTGGGAAAGCAGTGGAGAATGGCCCAAGTCCTTGGGCCCATGTACCAATGTGGGAGACCGGGAGGAAGCTACTGGCTCCTGGCTTTGGATTGGCCCAGCTGTGGCTGTTGTGACCGATTGGGGGAATGAACCAGCAGATGGAAGAACTCTCTCTCTCTCTACCTCTCTCCCTCTCCTCTACCTCTCTCGACCTCTCTCTATCTCTCCTTATCTCTGTGTAACTCTGACTGTCAAATAAATAAAATAAATAAGAAATGGCCACTCTATCATATATAAAAATTTCCCATGCTCAGGGAGGAAATTTGGATTTCATACACTTTTCTATGGGTGTTTCTGCTTTTTCATGTGCTAATGTAATTTGAGTTACTGAGTTTTTAGAATGGGCTTTAAAATCGTTTATAAAATATTTATTGATTTGAAAGGTAGAGCTATAGAGCAAGGGAAAAGAGAGGGAGGGAAGAAAGGAGAGAGTGAGGGAGGATAGGAGGGAGATAGAGAGAATCTTTTTTTTTCAACTTTTATTTAATAAATATAAATTTCAAAAGTACAACTTTTGGATTATAGTGGCTTTTCCCCCCATAACCTCTCTCCCACTGGCAACCATCCCATCTGCCACTCTCTCCCATCCCATTCTTCATCTAGATTCATTTTCAATTATCTTTATATACATAAGATCAATTTAGTATATGCTAAGTAAGTATTTCAACAGACTGCACCCACACAAAGTATAGAGTACTGTTTGAGTAGTAGTTAGAGCGTTAATTCACATAGTACAACACATTACGGACAGAGATCCTACATGGAGAGTAGGTGCACAGTGACTCCCGTTGTTGATTTAACAATTGACACTCTGATTTATGATGTCAGTAATCACCAGAGGCTCTTGACATAGGCTGCCAAGGCTATGGTAGCCTCTTGAGTTCACCAACTCTGAATATGGCCTTGTCTAAATAAGATCAAAGTGGAAGTTTGCTCCTCCCTTCAGGGAAAGGTACCTCCTTCTTTGGCCCATTCTTTCTGCTGTGATCTCACAGAGATCTTTCATTTAGGTCATTTTTCTTGCCACAGTGTCTTGGCTTTCCAAGCCTGTGAAACTCTCATGGGCTTTTTAGCCAGATCTGAATGCCTTAAGGGCTGAATCTGAGGCCAGAGTGCTGTTTAGGACATCTGCCATTCTATGAGTCTGCTGTATATCCTGCTTCCCAGGTTGGATTGTTCTCTCATTTTTAATTCTATCAGTTAGTAATAACAGACACTAGTCTTGTTTATGTGATCCCTTTGACACTTAACCTATCATTATGATCAATTATGAACGTGAACAGATTACTTTGACTAGTAAGATGGCATTGATACATGCCACCTTGATCGGATTGAATTGGAATCCTCAGGCACGTTTCTAACTCTACCATTAGGTGTAAGTCTGAGTGAGCATGTGCCGAACTGTACATCTCCTCAGTCTCTTATGCCCACTCTTATATTTAAAAGAGATCACTTTTCAGTTAAATTTAAACACCTAAGAATAATTGTGTGTTAATTACAGAGATCAACTAATGGTATTAAGTAGAATAAAAAAAATACTAAAGGAATAAAATAGTAAGTTGTTTCTTGACAATCAGGACAAGGACTGCTCAAGTCATTGTTTCTCATAATGTCCATTTCACTTCAACAGGTTTCCTTTTTGGTGCTCGGTTAGTTGTCACTGATCAGGGAGAACATATGATATTTGCCCCTTTGGGACTGGCTTATTTCACTCAACATGATGTTTTCCAGATTCCTCCATTCTGTTGCAAATGACCGGACTTCATTGTTTTTTACTGCTGTATAGTATTCTATAGAGTACATACGGTATAATTTCTTTATCCAGTCTATTGTTGATAGGCATTTAGGTTGATTCCGGGTTTTAGCTATTGTGAATTGAGCTGCAATAAACACTGAGGTGCAGACAGCTTTTTTGTTTGCCAATTTAATTTCCTTTGGGTAAATTCCAAGGAGTGGGATGGCTGGGTCATGTGGTAAGGCTATATTCAGGTTTCTGAGGAATCTCCAGACTGACTTCCATAGTGGCTTGACCAGTTTGCATTCCCACCAACAGTGGGTTAGTGTCCCTTTTTCCCCACATCCTCGCCAGCATCTGTTGTTGGTAGATTTCTGTATGTGAGCCATTCTAACCAGGGTTAGGTGAAACCTCATTGTGGTTTTGATTTGCATTTCCCTGATGGCTTGATCCTGAACATGTTTTCATGTGTCTGTTGGCCATTTGGATTTCCTCTTTTGAAAAATGTCTGTTGAGGTCCTTGGCCCATCTCTCAAGTGGCTTGTTTGTTTTGTTGTTGTGGAGTTTCTTGATCTCTTTGTAGATTCTGGTTATTAATCCTTTATCGGTTGCAAAGTTTGCAAATATTTTTCCCATTCTTTTGGTTGTCTCTTCACTTTCCTGACTGTTTCTTTTGCAGTAGAGAAACTTCTCAATTTGATGCAATTCCAGTTGTTAATTCTGGCTTTGATTGCCTGTGCCTCTGGGGTCTTTTCCAAGAAGTCTTTGCCGGTGCCTGTATCTTTCAGGGTTTCTCTGATGCTCTCCAATAATTTGATGGTGTCGTGTCATAGATTGAGATCTTTAAGCTATGTTGAGTGGGTTTTTGTGTAAGGTGTAAGGTAAGGCCTTGCTTCCTGCTTCTACACGTAGAAATCCAGTTTTCCCAGCACCATTTATTGAATAGACTGTCCTTGCTTCAGGAATTGGTTTTAGATGCTTGATCAACTATACTTCGGTTGTAAATGTTCAGATTGATTTCTGGTGTTTCTATTCTGTTCCATAGGTCTATCCATCTGTTTCTGTACCAGTACCATGCTGTTTGGATTACAACTGCCCTGTAGTATGTCCTGAAATCTGGTATTGTGATGGCTCAGCTTTGTTTTTGTTGTACAAGATTGCTTTAGCTATTCGAGGTCTCCTGTGCCTCCATATGAATTTCAGCATCATTTTTTCCAGAAGAATGTCTTTGGTATTTTGATTGGTATTGCATTGAATCTATAATTTGCTTTTGGGATAACGGACATTTTGATGATATTAAATCTTGCAATCCATGAGCATGTAAGATTTTTCCATTTTTTGATATCCTCTTCTATTTCTTTCTTTAAGGTTTTGTAATTCTAATTGTAGAGATCTTTGACTTCCTTTGTTAAGTTTATTCCAAGGTATTTGATTAACTGCATACAGAAGAAAAAAACATATGATTACCTCAGTAGATGCAGAGAAAGCATTTGATAAAATACAACACCATTTCATAATGAAAACTCTAAGCAAACTGGGTATAGAAGGAACATTCCTCAATACAATCAAAGCAATTTATGAAAAACCCACAGTCAGCATCCTATTGAATGGGGAAAAGTTGGAAGCCTTTCCCCTGAGATCTGGTACCAGACAGGGATGCCCATTCTCACCATTGCTATTCAATATTGTACTGGAAATTTTAGCCAGAGCCATTAGGCCAGAAAAAGAAATTAAAGGGATACAAATTGGGAAGGAAGAGTCAAACTATCCCTCTTTGCAGATGATATGATTCTTTATTTAGGGGATCCAAAGAACCTACCAAGAGACTATTGGAACTCATAGAAGAGCTTGGCAAAGTAGCAGGATATAAAATCAATGCACAAAAATGAACAACCTTTGTATTCACAGGAAATGCCACGGCTGAGAAAGAACTTCTAAGATCAATCCCATTCACAGTAGCTACAAAAACAATAAAAAACCTTGGGATAAATATTCTTTTTTTATAATTTTTTTTGTTTGACAGGTAGAGTTATCGACAGTGAGAGAGAGAGACAGAGAGAAGGGTCTTCCTTCCAATGGTTCACTCCCCAAATGGCCACAACGGCCTGCACTGCGCTGATCCGAAGCCAGGAGCCAGGTGCTTCCTTCTGGTCTCCCATGCGGGCGTGGGGCCCAAGCCCTTGGGCCATCCTCCACTGCCCTCCCGGGCCACAGCAGAGAGCTGGACTGGAAGAGGAGCAACCGGAACTAGATGCCGGGGTGCCGGCACCGCAAGCAGGGGATTAGCCAAGTGAGCAACGGCACCCACCGGGGTAGATAATCTTTTATGTGCTGGTTGACTCCATAAATAGCTGCAACAGCCAGGCTTGTGCCAGGCTGAAGCCAGGAGCTTAAAATTCCATCTGATTCTCCCATGTGGGTGCTGCAAGGCCCTGAGTACTTGGACTATCCTCCCCTACTTTTCCCAAGCCATTCGCAGGGAACTGAATTGAAAGTGGATCAGCTGGGACACGAACCAGCACTCATATGGGATGCTGGTGTTGCAGATGGCGGCTTAACCTGCTATACCACAATGTTTTCCTTGGTTTTAATCTCTTGTGTAATCAGTTCTTCCTTGTTGTTCTTCTTTTTCACAGGCTTCCTGGCCATTGTCGCTGTTATACTGAGTGTTAATTTGCCACCAAATTATCTGCTTTCATCTGCTGTCTTGGACTGGTAGGTACTGTATCTATTCATGTGTTGTTGTTATTATTGTTATTGTCACCACTGTGGAGATACTGTATGCTGATCTCTAAGAGAAAAGTGTCAAGTGCAAAATGATCACTGAGTTTAGATTGTAACCCTGTATTATATATAACATATATATCAATATATCATTTACATACAATATATTGATATATTATTATATACATTATTATAATATAACCTTGTGATATATATATAATATGTACTATATTATATATATGTAGAAATTCCATGGGTGATTCTGAAGAGTCAACTCATTTGAGAACCTTCAGCCTCTAAGTGAAAGTCAGAAAATGGGACCTATTCTAGCTGACCAGAGTGGCATGTATTATTTGTAAATAATACGTCTTCTATATTGTTAAAAATTACCTTCTAAATGTAACATCATTTATGTTGCCTGTTTTGGATAAATGTTTTTGTGTAATATAAATTTTAGATTCCTCTAACTTCTCATGTGGGATTAATCACAACTTTTGAACTTCTTCTGGAACTTAAAGCTATAAGAAATTATGTATTCTTGTGCTCTACACAGCTGAGTAGTTCTGCTTGTCCTTAAATTAAGTTTCTCCCAATGGAAATGCAAATTAATTTCTTTCATCTTTTCAGTTTTCCTGCTCCTCCCTGACAGTGTCTTATTGTGTGTTTTTGAGTATCTATATCTAACAACTTGGTTTCACTTGTGAACTTTACTTCCATGTCACTGTTACTATAAATATAAGTGGGAAATGGATTTAGGACTAGACTAGGAGTTGTGAGAACAACTAGTGTTTAATAATGGCTTTGGTAATGAATGGTAATAAAAATTGGCAAAGTGGATGTCTTTCCCTTATTCCTGTGTTTCTCAGTAGAAAAAGGAGATTGGATGGAATGATATATGGTTTTCATACTCCTTAGAGACCTCATTAAATAGGAACCAGGTGCTCAGTGAGGTTGTTTTGGCCATTTATGATCTATCCCGCTGTATTTTATCCAGCCTGACCTAGCTTGTCTTTAGTATCTTGGATATTTTCATTGAAAATGTTCCATTATTTAAAAAAGCATTAATATCCATGAATTACAATGACAATGATATTAATTTTATATTGAATACCCCATGTTCTTGAGTCTGCTCATCTTTTATCTCTGTTATCTCTTAATTTCCACATATCCTTTAAAAATAGTGAATGACTATTATTCTGACTTTGTACTAAAAAAAAAAAACTGAGCCTCAGGGAATTTAAGAAATTTTCCTAAAACCACTCAGTTAACACATGATAACGCTGACCTAGAAAACTCAAGAACTGCACACAGTTCCACATTGTCTTCTAGGATGGAAATTGCTATCAAGGGGCCAATGCTGCAGCATAGTGGTTTAAGCCTCCACTTGTAGTGCTGGCATCCCATGTGGGTGCTGGTTTGAGTCACAGCAGCACCACTTGCTACCCAGCTCCCTAGAAATGACTTGAGAAGGCAGTGGAGGATGGCCCAAGTGCTTGAGCCCCTGCACCCAGTTGGGAAACCTGGAAGAGGCTTCTGGCTGCTAGCTCATGGATTTAGATTGGCCCAGCTCTGGCTGTTGCAGCCATTTGGAAATTGAACCAACAGATGGAAGATCTTTCTCTGTCTCTCTCTATGTCTATAACTCTACCTCTCAAATAAATAAATCCTGAAAAGAAAAAAGAAATAGGTATCAAATGGCTGGACATGATAATTGTATCTAAACTAAGTGTAAGAAGAAGCCATAGAGTCAAGTATTTGCCAATAATGAAATGGTACTTTTGTGGTAGGTATCTGTGGGGAAATTAGGCACAGGAGGCAATTCAAAGATGGTGGCTGAAGGGAAATTAGGCACACGTGGCAATTCAAAGATGGCGCCCAAAGGAAGTAAGGTGGGCGGTGTCCAAAGTCATTTACCACCAAAGCTGATTGGCCATGCAGCATCAGGGGAGGTGACAACTGATGATGAGTGTACAGACATATGGCTGGTCCTGTAAAAAGTCACCCCGTAAAATGACCTTTTAAGTAATCGGTTGGTCCTTAAGCCCTGCCCCAGTAATCATGTGGTCTTGTGCTTTAAAAGGCTTTGCCATGTGCCAATAAACGGAGCTCTTGCTTGCTTGACTTGACTCCCCGCTGCGTCTGATTGTCTCTGGGATCAGGAGGCTGGGGACCAGGTGAGCGGCGCACTTACCTTTCTTCGGACCCAGTCCATCCTTGTTCGGGTGGACTAAGACCCAGCAGGTATCCAGGGTTCCCTTCGCCCATTTCCCATCTGTTTTCAATGGTTCATGACCGTGGTCTGGGTATAGCTCCACCCACAGAACATCTAAAACTGATACTACATTATGGTTAAGAACACTTATAGCTGCGTCCATGGCCTAGGTAGGAGAACGTTAAGAGTAGAGGAGGAATGCAAGCTTGAGGGATAAAAAGTAATTTATAGGCTTTTACATATGAATATTGATTGCTTTTGGGAAAAAAAAAGGCAAGTCATTTTTCACCTTGGAAACTAGGTTTATGAAGATGGCAGATTTCCACCCCAGAGTGAATTTTGATGCCTTTTCTGTTTTTGCAACTTCCCTTTGCCAGTGTCACAAGAGAAAGCTGCCTTTGTTGGCAGGAAGGAAGAAATTAAATTATGAACTGAAAATCAGAGAATAGTGAACACAATGTGTGCTCACACATGCACATGCCTTTGTCTTGGGATAGCAGTAATTACTAGTTCCCTGCACCTCTTATTCTTTCTACCCTAAGCTGTCAAACTTCTTACCTGCCTTTAAGAAAATCAACAATGGCTAATGTTCCTGATTTTTTTTTTTTTAATGAAAAAGCTCCAGTTTAAGAAAGGAACTGAGAAATGCCCAGGCACTTCATGTGCAGTCACTTGGCTTTCAGCTTAAAGCTACGTTTCCCCCCTCCTTCATTAGACAATGTGAGAGCATGGCTTGACCTTCAGTACGTGAATAAGAGCTTCCTTTGCTCTTGACTGATTTTTACAACCAAACCACTATTCTACAGTTTCTGAACTTCTCAGAAGGAGAGGGTACCCTTGGGTGACATTATAACCTCTCTTCTGTTTCTTTTTTTTTTAATTTATTTTTTAAGGAATACAAGTTTCACAAGTAAAGCTGTAGGAATATAGTTATTCTTCCTACCATACTCGCCCTCCCACCCACACTCCCTCCTCTTCTCCTGCTCCCTCTCCCCTGGCCAGTTCCATTCTCCATTAAGATTCATTTTCAAGTAACTTTCTACACAGAAGACCAACACTATGCTAAGTAAAGATTTAAACAATTTGCACACACACAAACACATATAAACAAACTGTTTGATAACTAGTTTTACAGTTAATTCTCATCTCATTGAGGACAGAGGTCCTGCATGGGGAGTTAGTGTACAGTGACTCCTGTTAATTGAACAGTTGACACTCTTACGTATGATGTCAGTGAACACCCAAGGCTCTAACATGAGCTGCTTCTGGTTCCTATGCATAGCCTGTGGTGTCTGAGCCTCTTAGGTAAGTCTCTGAGGCCTCCGTCCTCCATAAAGCACCACAATCCTCAAAAACATGTAGAGGCTAAAAGCATAGTTGGACAGCATTCTGCTTCATCTCGCCTCTAGTCTCCTAGGCGTAAGGCATGGGATTTAGAGTCATATAAAATTTCTTCAAATCTGAAGAAGTTAACCTTCACTTTTAGTTGTATGGCATGGTGTTGGGAAAATTGTTTCAGTTATTGCTCATAACTGCTTAGTGGATAGAAAATTCATATGGCATGAAGTTCACCTTTTGCAAGTGTACATTTCAGTGGTTTCAAAATGCTCAGTGATGTGTGTCCACCATCACTCTGTATTTCCTGAGCATTTCCATAACCTCAAAACAAAGAACCTCTGTTCATTAGTGTGACTGTTTGCCTTCTTCCTTTTCCACCTTTAGAAACTACTCATCCATGGATTTGCTTATTTAGACATTTGAGGTAAATGTAATAGTGAAATAGGTGGCTTCTTATGTCTGGATTATTTCATTGTATACTATTTCCAAGTTTTTCCCATTTTATAACATGTATTACTGCTATTATTTGTCCAGGAGAATAGTATTTGATTGTACAGACATATTTTTATTTGCCCATTAGTGGACATTTGGATTGTTTGCAATCTTATATATAATGCTGGTATAAACAAATTTGAGCATAATTTTTTGTGTGGCTACATTTTCAGTCCTCTTGGATATAACTGGGAGTTGAATTGCTAGGTCCGTTGGTAGCTCTGTGTATGAATTTTTTGAAGTAGCAAAATTTTTTAAAAAGTTGTTCCCCTAGGGCCTGTGTCGTGGTACAGTGTGTTAAGCCACTGCCTGGGACACTGGCATCACATATGAGCACTAGTTCAGGTCCTGGCTCCTCCACTTCTGAACAGGCTCCCTGCTAATGAGCTTGGAAAGGTAGCAGATGATGGTCCAAGTGCTTGGGCCTTGCCACCCACATGGTCAATATGGACAGAGGTCCAGCCTCCTGACTTTGGCTTGATCAAACCCTGAACATTGTAGTCATTTGGGGAGTGAACCAATGGATAAAAAAATCATTCTCTCTTTCTCTGTATCTCTGCTTTTCAAGTAAACTTTTTTTTTTTTAAAGTACAACACTTTAGATTCTCACCAGTAAAGTCTAAGGTTTCCCATTCTTCAAATCCTCATCAACCACTTGTTATTTTCTCATTTCCTAGTTGCTATAAAGTAGTATCTCACAGTTTTGATTTGCATTTCCCTAGTAACTTATCTTATTAAACATCATTTTTATTCATTTTTAAAATTTTCATTTTATATTTTATCTGGAAGGGTGAGAGGTAGAAGAAGACTCAGGCTTCCATATAGTAGCTCATTCTCCAAATGCCCTCAACAGCCAGGACTGGGAAGGCCAAATGCAAGAGCCTGAAACTCTATCCAGGTTTCTCACCTTAATGTAGGGACCCAAATATCTGAGCTATCAAATGCTGCC